GTATTTCCCGCCACTATCTATTTGAATTTCGTTTTTTGCAAAATTAATAGGCCTCTGCCCAGTTTAATCTAATCGACGCACAAGTCCCAAAACACTCCTCCGCCAAACAACAGATCGAGTCACCAAATTGCTGATGCGATAACTTGATGTTCTGCGGAATGTTAAATAATGAGATCTAATCTTCGCGGAGGCATGCGCTTTCGAAGGTGGAGCTTGTTGTTACATTGATTATCCCTATCGGGTGCCATGTCTTTATCAAAGCCCGACAGTGTTATGGTCTCCTGTTCGCTCAACTCCAGATTCGCTCAATCTCAGGTGTTCACACAAGTCCTGGCGCATTATATTTGTTTGCAACCTTACATCTAGGAAAGCCCTGCATAGATGTCCGCGGTCGAATCGATCGTATATTCTCACGGAGACGGTTGCAAGCAGTACTTGATTGCTATATTTTGATTGTGGACATTACCAAATATTGAGCTGCATTCGCCAAATTATTTCGATTCTTCAAAATTAGTTCAACCGTTAATTTAGAAGTTGAGCCTCGTGTACTCGCTTCCACCCTTGTTTACTTGTATCTTATCGTCACTGTGCAGCCACATGTGTCTCCTTCCGCATTACTTGCACCCGTCCACCGTACACTATCAGCGATATGATCTCTACGCAAGCAATTGCGCCTTCTCCGATGACGAACGTCATGACACAAGTCGTGATTGCGATATATTAGAACCTCTTTATAATCCACCTCGTTATAGTCACAACCTCTAAATAATCGACCTCCAGATAAGCACATCTCAAGCCCACGTGACTATAACCTCTTGCGCAGTACGATGCGCAATCGGTCTATTCAGACTTGTAACAATCATAGCTGCGAGGCCCAATCAATGTGCGATAAGGAGACATATCTGGATCTTTTTTTGATATACAAGTATTGTATAATACATTTTATTTAATAAAATTATTGTTGTATGTCAGGATTATTAATTATATATTAACTACCTATGTAGTAAGCTCTTATAACCTAACTAAATTTATTGTGTCATAATGACAAATTATTTATCATTTTATGATGATGAATTATATTCATCTCATTATGACAACAAATTTATGCCAAATCGTTTACCTTAATTAGTAGCTTACTACTTAGATAGGTAATATATTAATTATTTTGCATAATTTTGAGTATAAACATGAACCGAAAGTCGAGAAAGTGTATAACGGCCCTGCTTTGGGTGGAGCTCGGACAATCTCTTTATAGTTACATTTCGATCCCGAGGGTGTGACTATAAAAAGGTTCTACTGTATACACGACGGCGCGATTAAAATTACACGAGTACCTGGAATTAGATAGACAGTTTTTATATTACGATACCCATTCTGTATATATTTAAGGGGCGACGATCTGGGCGAGTACGAACCACGTAAAAAGAATTTTCTAGGCTACAAACTCGAGAGTTACAGTCGTAGTAGTTGTATCGAATCGTTCATGATGTCAGATGGCTCAAACTTTTATGCGTTATAATATCGTTTGTACGCCGGAAAGTTATACATACCAAATTTGTAAAATAAAAGGGATTACTATTAATTATGATAATTTCCTACTTGTAAATTTTAATAGTATTAAAAAATTAATAATGGAAAAAAAGCGAAAAGAAGAATAAATGGCGGGAGCAATGATAAACTTGCGTTTTAGCACAATTCGGTACACTGCGTTGCATGAAATTGTAACGCCAAATGAAAAAAAATTTATGTGCGCCGGTATTGGTAAAACGTAGATTTATCAATAATCGTTATTCCCTCCCATACAGTTTCGTAAGTAAATAACATTTTTTCTTCTTCTCTTGATCAAATTTTCTCTCTTATTTTAAGTTATATCGAGTTTTCTGCCCATTAGCGTAGTTTAAGAAAAACTTAAAAATTAAATTTTTCAAAAATAGAAATATAAATAACGTTTACAAAACTATTTATTTGTTAAACATGATTAAATATAAAAATAATTAGTTACGTTCGGTGAACTTCACGATTTCTTGGTTTTGTAAACACGTAATAAAACAAATCCTTAGAGTAAAAAATAAATAAAACAAATATTGATGATTATTGATCGATTAGTGACCTAACAAGGAATCAATGACATTTCCGTTATCAATTATTTCGGAAAGTTTATGATCGAACGTTGGAAATTTCCTTAACTCGATTTTGAAAGCAAGTGAATCTGCATTCTAACTCGAACGCGGTAATCCGCGGGACTGAACTTGATTCCGAAACTTGACAAAGACTCCAAATTTTATTGATAAGCATTATCCAAATATATCGGGTATAGAGTCGCAATAAAATTCTTATCAAGGGGCAAAATATTCTTACAATCAGAACTTAAAAGTCGATAAAATTATTCTTTATCAATTTTCAACCGCTTTTATTTGTTTTCAGTCGCTAGGTTTTATCATTTCTTAGCCGCTAAACTTCAAATTGGGCCGAGAATGTATTACGTTTGACTGATAGGGGGTAAATTATCGGAAATTAAAAAGGGCAAACGAACAAACATTGATTTTTGGAATTAACG